CTTGGGATACTTGGTAGGAATGATCCAGCAACACAAATCCTCTTTCAGTGTCAGTGAGAACGATGCTGATGCTGGGAGTAGCGATCAGCTGTAACTGCCTAAGGGCAGTCATGTAACAAGGAGACGGCGTGGGGTTCCTGCAAGGAATCGAGGTGCCGCCCAAAGGATGGGTTGAGCCCTGAGGCAGCAGGTACTGGGCCCGTAGCAGGGCTTGGGGAGCCATGGCTGCCTGCAGCTTCCGGCCATTCTCTGCTGGGGGGCCCGGGGGCACGGTGGGCCATGGAGAGGCAAACGGTTTTTGCCGGTCTCCCAGGCAGCCTGGCTCTCCCTGTGCCCTCTGGCAGCTGTAGGGAGTGGGCTGCAGAGCCAGGGCTCTGCGGCTGGTGGGCACCGATAGGTGCGTTACAGACTCCGGTTCCTTCCTGGCTGGTGGGTCCGCGGTTCCATGAGGCAGCGGTGGGCTTAGCGCGTCTCGCACCCCTCTACACGCCTGCCCGAGGTGCGCACAGGAGGCGTCCGCCTCCCGCCTGGGCCAGCTGCTGCCCGCCGGCCTGGGGGAAGGAGACGCTGGATGGCTGCACTGCCCGCATGTCCGGAGCCGCTCCGGTGCTGACACGCTCTCTCTGCTGCCTGTGTAGGTCCTGTGATCAAAGCCGAAGTTGGAGACACCATCCTGGTGACGTTTGCTAACAAAGCCTCCTGGCCGTTCAGCATCCAGCCGCACGGAGTGTCCTATGGGAAGGCGTGGGAAGGGATGCGGTACCACGACGGTTTGTAGCCCCTTTTCTCAGTAATTCGGTGTCAGTGCTGGTGGGGCTGCACCGCTCTACCTGCGCTGTGCCGGGGGGCTGCTGCTGCTGGGCAGGATGGGCAGCCTGGTCCCCAGAGGCCTCGTTGAAGGAGGCTTCCCAGGGAGCGTGCCACAGGGAATATAGTTCTGGAGGTGCTATTTTTTGGATGAAAATAGTAAACCAAAGCTCAGACCATTTCAGCTGTTTGAGACCCTGTGAGCAGAGGAACCTGCCCAGTGCGTTCCAGCTTAGATAACCGCCGCTTGCAGCGTTCACCTCCCCAGGTGCCGCTGGATCTGCGTCATTGTTTCCTGTCACCATGCCCGTCTCTGCCGTGGCACCAGGGGGAATTTACAGGGTACTGAACGCAGCTCCCATGTGCCTTAATCGCACCCACTCACCTCAGAGATGCTGAGTGTTTCGGTGAGGTGGACGAAGTAAAGCCCAGTGTGAATGTAGCTGGTGAGGAGATGTAACCGAGTTTGTGCTGGGACCTTGGCAATAACCATGCAATCTCTGGTTTAAAGGTCTGTCCTGGAATGGGATTTCTGTTGCACCGCTGCACAACTTCACGTACCGCTGGACCGTGCCGAAGCACGCGGGGCCGGCGCCTGACGCCCCGCCCTGCCTGGCCCGGCTGTACAGCTCCGCTGCCGACCCCGTCAGAGACCCCAGCGCCGGCCTGGTGGGGCCCCTGCTCGTCTGCAAGGCGGGCGCTTTGGATGGCAACAACAAACAGGTGGGAGGGAGCTCCTGCCGCGCTCTTACCACGTTGCTGTCTTGTAGGGAAGGGAGGGATCGGCAAAACGCTAAGGAACGTAAAGAAAACCAACATACGATAGTGTGAGTCCAGGAGAGTGGAATCAAGGCCCTGGAGGCGGGCTGGCAGTGGGGCAGGTGGTGCCTAGTTGGGTGGGAACCATTGGGCTGGCATTGGGCTCCCGGCGCTGCCCTTGGGACAGTTTCTGGGCTCTGCTTGAGAACTCACACAAACTTGGCTGAACAGTACCTCAGATGTGACTTTATAGGTCACTTCTGTCCCGAGGCTTGCGTAGCAGGCTGCTTCCAGAGGTGTGTGGAACATTCATTGCAGTCTCAGAAACGTTGAACAGACATTTTCACTTTCTTACAGGTGGTTTGCTTGAGCGATGTAATGCTTTGAGGTCTGGGTGATCCTCACTTCTTTGGCAAGATCAGTTCATTTTCAGGCAGAGCTGACTACAAAACAGCGAGTGAAAATCCGTGTCAGTCTTTTTGCATTTGATGAAAGAGGTGAAGTCCGAGGGGCAGCCAGAGCTTCCTCTTGGAATTTTGCTCAGGGATGGTCACTCAGCAGTAAGTCTAGGGATGGCAGTAAATGAACGTGCTGGGGAAGTTCGAGATAGATCAGCAGAGCCTTATTGTGAAAACAGGAGGCGGCAGAAAAAACAGCTGGG